GCCTAGTTAAAATAAATGATATATCCATGTCAGACCCCCTCATCTATACTGAATTATCTAAAAAAATCTTACCAGACGAATATTCGCAACATGACAGTTTTTCTCTTGAATGTGCTTTATGTCTTTTAATAAATTTTTCTTTTCTGCATATAATGCATTTTTTGGGAAGAACATTCTTATTCCGTCTTGCAAATTTGTTACCAATATCTGCAAAAATTTGGCTTGAAGTTCTTTTTGGCTTGATTCCTAATTCAGATCTATTTTCGGTGTCTATGGGCTTCTTTTTAGAACGAGCTCTGTTAATTCTTGTTATGTTCGTGAACTTTGAATAACATTTTTTGTGGCATTGCTTAGTTTTAAGAATATCTTCATCAAACTTCAAAATATTTATTGCTATTTCTTTATCTACCTCACATTCCAAATCTTTCCAGGCTAATGAACTATACCATATCCTTTTACAACTTTTGATCGATATCTCAGTCAAAAGGCCATCGTCGCAGTCATGGTAGTGTATACAGCATGTGGTTTCTGACATAGTTTAATATCTATCGGAATCTCATTGAAATCACCGAACACTGAACCTGAAACGGAACGTAAAAATAATAGCAGTCGAACTACTGGCAGCCGACAGTCGGCGGCTTCGCCCGTAGCCTAGCAACGATAGCGGAGATTTATTACAAAATTGCGCGTAAACGTTCATAACTGGCTGTTTTTAAACGGTATTACGATTAAAAAAAGTTATATAAATTGGAAAATATTAAAACATGTAAAATAAGAATTACAAAATACGTCTATTTTACGTTTTTAATCGCAAACCAACCAAGCGTGACGAAAGATTTTTTTCACGTCATTTATCCGATTGAGGTGGCGCGACAAGGCAAGTTTCGGCGCCTCTTGCGCGTAATTGCTCCACTTTGAGGATGTCAACTTTAGTTTACCGTAATCAGGAATCATTTCTGAATCGAATGATACAAAGTTGACATTCCCCGGCTTTCGGCCCATGGCCTACGTGTTTTGTTTCGGTTCACTGATTTGATCCGATACGCATTCTCTTGTGCAGTTTCTTCAGTGTTTCCTTCCATCACAGACAGATGAGATTTTGCCAGTTCTATTGCTTTACCATTGTCGAGTAGGGTTTTTAAATCCATCTTTTTGCTTAAACATTTTTTCCTTAATTCTGACGATTTGCATCCCTGAATTATTTGACTTTTGATTTCCCCTTCTACCTTTTCAGGATCGAACTCACAATTTACAGCCATTTTCTTAAGTCGTGTACAAAATTGATCAAGTGACTCACATTCATGTTGTCGGTTAATTTTCTTCCAGTATCAGCAAAAGTATCATTTTCCTCCTTCAAGGTTTCATAAATGTCGTAACATTGCTCACCCATGTAGTGCAACATTAGAGATTTCTTCATTTGCTTATCTTCATCAGAATCTTTGATATTCATTGCAAGTGTCAAGTTAACAAATCGTCGAAGCCATTTCTTCCATCTTGGTCCGGCACTTGACAAATCAGCGCAATCAAAAATTGGATAGTCCGGTAACGCAGACGCCATTTTCCAAGTTCGAAATTAGCGTTGACACTTAAGTCTGTAAGTAACGTTACGGTAGCACTTGAAGCAAACTTTTCCCGACGAGCTTCTCTATTCCATTATTCTATTCCATCTCTATTAAAATAATCCTCTTCGCCAGATGTAATATTCAAGGTCTTGAATCCAAGTAACACAGGCTTCAATTGCTCACAGAATATATTATATTGCATGAAAGTAAATAGAAATACAACATACGTCCGTCGATCACATCAATGACAATAATGTCATTGCTCACATAGAGTAGTTCTAGAATAGACCTTATTCATTAAAAACCCATCCTACGCGCAAAAAATAAAAGTGATGTAAAAAATAATTTTTTAACATTAGCTCTCATGGGAAATGTGATCACCAGAGCAGAAATTTGCATTTTTTTTTGTAATTTTCTAGATATCTTTCATTGTATACGGGAGCAGTTTTGAGGATAGAATATTTTTTACATCTTTTTTGATATTTTTATCATGATAAACATAGTCAAGATTTTTGATAATCGTTCATTAAAATTTAATGAGCGCGGTGTTTCCGATGACGTCATTCTCACTAGACCATGAGATTCTGCCAACGCGCCGTGCTCTGTGGGATGCGCTGCAAATGCGGCCCTAATGTCGCTTTGGGTCCGTGTCCGTCCGGTACTGGAAGCGTTTAACATTGACAATCTATAACCCGTACCATTTCTATCACGTTTGTTTACTGGTTTTACGCATTTATACCTGTACAGCTAGCAATCATTTACTGAAGGCATGCTGACGTGTTATTTAAACTACCGGTACCGTACCAAGGATGCAAGAGGTGAAAACTAAATTATTTAGTAAATACTGAAATAGGTCTACGAACAAAAATGTTGGCCATCTTGCCAATAGGCAGGACAAGTTGTACGGTACCGGTATACAAAAAAGATGAATATCTCGAACCTATAATGGTACAATACCGGTCTCGTAACTAGGTTAAAAAACCTGACTGCATACGAGAGGGAGATTTATTTTGTCAACCAGAATACAAGCATTGAATCAATAAAAATCATATACAAAACACACAGTTATTCGGTATAGACTGGGGAGCGATACGACCATCACAGTCAGCTCCCCCCTGCCCCCCATGTTTGCTATCAAGATTAACAGTTAATTAAGATGTTTTAACAAAAACTCCTCGGAGGAAGGGTTAACTAAGTTACGGAATATTTTTGCATTCGGGTAAAAATGTAGTCCAATATTAAACACTGCTTTTTTGTAAATTTTCACTTAGTGGACACTTAGCAAGTACGACAGTTAATTTATAAAATAATTGTAAATTAATAACAAATCAGTAGAAGTCAGCTCGGGTATTCAAACATGTGATGATTGAAGTGAGAAAAAAATTTGAAGTCACCTGCGGGATATTACATTAAACAACAATGGAAAAGGTACATTGGAATCAGTCAAGCTTCAAATGCTAATGACATTAATGAAAAGAATATGCGAAATGAGGACTGAAGTTTCCATCTCAGACATTGGAAGACGCTAAAACCTTATAGACTTGATAGTGTGGAAAGCCTTCTCACAATGCAGTAATAATGGGACATATATTTATAATATCAATATACAGGCTTTAAGTTGAACTATATGTTTAATTAAAATATATATCTTTGCTAATAAATGCTGAAAACCATTTATTTCAATCTGCTGAGTGATTAGGGCCAGAAATTTGCTGTAGGGACCATCACCAGGACTGGATTTACCAATAGGCTAGGCAGGCTGAAACCTAGAGCCTCGAAATTCGGTTTCAAAATTTGTAATTCTTTTGAAAACTTGACAAGTTTAAACCCTACAAAAAGTATATATATATATCAAGCTTTTCCGAGTAGAAAATTATGTATACAACAAGTTTCAACCACATTGTAAACAGCCATTATTGCGTCGTTTGCATCATAATAAGGGAAATTATTATTATGCGCATTTTGCTGGAAGTTTCTATGTTTAAATATGGCTGTAGCGGTTGTTTGATCAAAGAAATTGAAAGCAAAACTGCCTCGAGTAAATTATCATTCTTTTAATTAAAAATTCACACCCATGAATGAGGAAAATGAAAAGTTTAATGCTTTCATATTTTTAAATTTTAAGCAATTAAATGTGATGTTGTTTAGAGAGAAATTCTGAGCTCAAAAATATGAAGGGGCCTCTCATCGTCTAAATCCAGCCCTGAACATCACTAATTTTGGCATAGGTACCGTACATGGTAGGTACCGTCAACATATGAAATGTACATGGAATTCATGAAATATATAGCATCCAATTAAAACCAAAATAGGTCTTTCGTTGAACGCCAGTTGTGGTCCCGGTACCGGTATTCCAGTATTCTGTTATCACAAGCAGTTGGAGCACATATCCCACAGAGCACGGCGCGTTGGCAGAATCTCATGGTCTAGTGAGAATGACGTCATCGGAAACACCGCGCTCATCAAAATTTCAATGAACGATTATTAAAAATCTTGACCATGTTTATCATAATAAAAATATCAAAAAAGATGTAAAAAATATTCTATCCTCAAAACTGCTCACGTATACAATGAAAGATATCTAGAAAATTACATAAAATGCAAATTTCTGCTTTGGTGATCACATTCCCCATAAGAGCTAATGTTAAAAAATATTTTTTTACATCACTTTTTTTTTGCGCGTAGGATGGGATTTTAATGAATAAGGTCTATTGTCTTATCATGTGGCCTAAACTAGATCACTAGATGTCCTCATAACATTACGTCATGGACCAAATATAAGACATAGAATATAGAAGTATTTCATGGACATTACATCATGTCAAATGCAATATTGTAAAGTTTGTATTAGTTTGACGGTATTATTTTCGTCGACTTTTCTGAACGCACAACTCGGATGTGTTGGGAAAACCATGGTATTTATTTCCGCCAAAATGTGTCTGACCTTTGTGAAGTTTGAATACATGTGCCGCTTTACGTCGTTATCTGACTATTAAAGCATCCGACCCGTACCCGAAATGTTGTTTTATTGACCTGTCCGAACTATTGCAAAAAAGATATTTGAGTGATACAAAATTATCATAAGGCGGGCCTATATTCATTTTAACAAAAAGTTAACTATTTTCTAAGTAAAAATAAAAAACAAATAGACTATAGTTATTCTGCCCTGAATCTACTGGCAAAAATATGGTTGCGCTGGCAAGTTTGGGACGCGACGTTTTTAAGACACCGTATATTTGAGCTTTTTTACCGCTTTTCGGTTCTTCATACTTATATTAAACTATGCTTCACACATTGAAGTTAATAATATCAAGTACCAGAAATTGCCTCACTCTGATACAAGTGCTGCATTGTAATGATCAAGACTACACAGCGCCATCCTAGTATTTTAAGACTCGACCCTGATACAAGTGTTGCAAAATTATAATGCGTGACTCAATCAGTAGAGAAAGTTCCTGCTGATATAAAACACAGAATGTCGTTCTAACTTGGTAAAAAGCAGACAAACTGGGAATTATTATTTTATTTAATACATGGTATGTATTTATTTGCTACTTGAAAATGAGTTAGTTTCAAGCGTTCAAAGATCCGGAGTCTACCGGCATCATTATACCAGTAATATGAGACGAAGAACATAAAAATACTATTCCATCAGCTATAGTTTCTGGTTTCATAAATCCAAGCTTGTGAATTTTACTGAAATTTTCCATAATCTGAAAGATGATAAAAATATATAATGTTTATAATATCATTCTTTGTTATTCTTTCACGTGTTTGGTGTTTCACTCAGGTGCGTCGTTAAAAGCATGTCGATTATATTATTCGAATATATTACACGATCCTCATCGGAAATGTGTTGAAAATATGCAATATAAAATACAAGCATGCAATGCATATATGCATGGAATATTTGGTGAATATTTAGATTTCAACCTAGTTTCAATTCATTTATTTCAATAATTCGTGAAATGTGTTTAGAAACGATTTATGGCATGATGTATAGCTGCTTTCTCCTTTATACAAGTTAAGTACTTGCATAGGTGTAGTATAATGCAAGTGACTGTTAAATGGAACATAAATATAATAATATCATTCAGAAAAGGAAGCATAAATAATCTAATGCAGACTTTCAGTGTTGCAACGAGGCCAACTCCCTGTAATCACTTTATGGATAAACTCATGGGGATATCACAGCAACGTAACTAACCTTCTCAAATTGCTCTTTTGTGTATTTTGAATTTTCAACAAGTCTCGTTTTCACAACACCTGGACTGTTTGGTCAAAAAATTAGAGCAGTTTGAATTGAAGGAGATAAATTGAATGGAGTGGGTCAAGATTTCCTTCTATCAATATTGATGAATACAAGAGAGCAACGCTCAAATATATGGACACGTGGACTAGAGTGAAGCAGGGTTTACCTTTGACGTTACCGGTACCGTACCCTCAAAAAGTTCCGGGGTTTTCAGTCGCAAGAATTTTCACAGTCAGCCGTCACGCTTGGCGGATTAAAAACCGTGTTCCCATAATTAAAAATTAATACAGCGCAATTTTGGATGAAATATTAGATCTCATAAGATTCATAGAAAAATCAGGAATAAATGAAAGTAATAGCCTTCTGGCAAAAAAATCAATCTTGAACCACTGAAAATTTCAAAGCAATTGGTCCAGTATTCGAAGAGAAAAGCGATTTTTTAATGATAATAATGACGAAAGAAAACAACAACAACAAAATTTTGAAACGATCGTTATGGCCACTAAACGTGTGCAATAACTTCGTATGTAGGACTAAAATAATTGCTGGGTAAATAATGTTAGAAACGCAATTCGCTTTATACTTCCAATATTCATAATTTAAACTTTGGATTAGAGTTGGCACATCAGGCTACGTGCCATTTCGGAATGTGCCTGTTTTTTTAAGATGTTTTTAATATTCTGATATTACTTTTAACGTGATTTATGGCTTTTACTGACGTCATACTATTGTTGTAATACAATCTCTGAAAAACTCTACTTCTCAACTATTCAAATACGTCATTAAGCACGACTGACTCGTTTTCTTTCGTTTTTGAAAGAAATAGATCGAAAGATCAAAAATAATTTTAAATATATAGGTATAAAAATATCTTACTTGATGCTGTTAACACGAACGCCATATGAAGCACATTCTGAAAAACAAAATGTTGATAATAAGCGAACAATTGGATAAAATACATAATTATAAAAAATTATCTAACACCTAAATGAAATTAGTTGAAGAAGAGTAGTATATATGGTAGGGACAGTCTTGTTATCATCTTAGTAAGATTTTACTGTTGTTTTACGAATTATTAATATTGAACCGAGTTAAACCAGAATTTCATAGAATTGTGAACCGCCATAACTTTTTTTACAGGGCATTATTTAGTATAGCCACAAGCTATTTCTCAATGACCAACCAGTTTTAATATAATTTATCGCAGTTCCACACTTGCTAAAGACCTTTTCATGCGTCGGTGATTAGTATGGTCCACCATTCAACGAACAACAAGTTGTTATATACTTTTTCAAGCCTAAGGTATAATACTTGTGCCATTAGGTTGATTTTAATTGTTTTATTCGTGACTTTTGTACATAGCGATAATTTTTTCATGGTCACAAATGAACGGTAGCGTTGTTCATTCCACACACCTGCTGAAAATCCTCTTGTGAAATTGTCTAACGCTGCCTTAAACATTTCATACGACACATTGAATGTCAAAGGAAATGTTTTGAGACTTGCTGTACTTGACACATTGACCACGCAACCTAAAAAATACAAGCAAATACTGAAAAAATCTTCCAAAGTTTTTCGTTGTATAAAATTGTTATTTTACCTTTTGTCTCTTTAAGGTGAGGCAATGCATATTTACAAAGAAAAACAGGTGCACGAACAAGAATTGCAAACAAATCTTTAAATAAATCAAGCTGGAGCTAAAATATGATTGAGAATAAACTAGAAATGTTGAAGATAATTTGTAGTCACCGTCTAAATTCTTTTTGTACTATTTGACATGCATTTGGGAATATCTCTAATCTCACCCATTTTAGGAAGAACACTGGATCTTGTGTTGTCGAAAATCCGTCAATATATTATTGCACAATGTGATTGAAATATTCCATGTAACAGATAAATTAGAATACGCTTAATACCATAAATATATACAATTGTATTCAAAAATCAATATCGAAATTGGGAATGTTCGATTCCTGGGGATGGGCACGAATCATGTGATCAGAGTTATATTTTCGTTTTGGTTTTATTCTCGTAATATCATAGAATCATGCAGGAAATTGAATTATAAAGTAACATTGTCTGTGGTGCGCATTAAGCACATTCTTATAAAATTCGGTGGTTGAAAGTTATACGAATCTACAGTTGCCACCTATTTTCAAATCAATCTTTTTGCGCAACATATTGCAACTATTATTTGTTATATTCGTATATCATTGCGAGTTTTTTTTTTATAAGATACAAGCACAACTTACTTCAGAAATTGGACAATGTTCCAGGCGACCCGCGTTGTTTATCAAGATATCAATTGGAAATTGGATGGAAAACTTGCTAACTGTTATATCAATCACGGGTTTCAATCCTTCAAACTTTGATAGATCTCCAACTATTTAGGAAACCTAAAATAATAATTTTAGATTACTATAACGCATAAAGCTATTACCATTCACCTGTAATGATCACCACTTCTCCACTGAACTTCTCCATCACAGCACCAAGGCCAAACGCGTAATAAAAGACTAGTTAAAGCACTGTTGCGGAACAAGATACCGGCAGCGTAGTCGTGCGAAGAAGCTTTGAAACGATCAATGAGTGATTGTTTTATATATAGATATACAGGCTTGTCCATGGGAACGGGAGGGGATAGCACACATTTGTATTTACCATGGGACTCGAAAACCGTATGATTTTCAGAGAAATGATGGTAAAACATTTTGTAATGAACTTTGTGTCCATATATTATGCAGAGCAAAATATAATGCGACGCCAAATTATAACGGACAAAAACTCACGGCGCACTTGCACGAAAAAAATGCAGCTTTTCAAATAAAGCTCAATTTTGTTATCGCTAATGTGTACTGTATGCATTAGATAGTTTGTAAACACGTAGGCATAAGGAATAAAGGCAAGAGGTCAACTCTTCTTCCTCATCTCTGCTCGATTTTCATTCAAAATGCTAAAAAAATCACCCATATTCGCTGAACTCGTTTCAGTAGTTATATGAACTGCAGCTCGCGAAATGGCACCAGGTAGTTTTTCCCTCTTTTACACGTATTATAAATTTACAGTACCTAGTGGAACTAACTAGAAAGTTTGAATAAATGAGTCAATGTGGGAAAGACTTCTGAGATTGTGTACAGTATATGCACTGAGCGGCAAATTACTATATATTTAACTTCAGTCACAGTTACGTGGAACGCAGATATTGATACAATATCAGTGTTTTGAAAACTTTGAATCAGCGACATAAGCGGTTTTGAAAGGTCTATGGTAGCTACCGACATTCCCAAATGTTTCTAAGTTCGAGAAGCCCATGACGCTAACAATGCACTATTCGTTGGTGAGAAACTTAAAAAATATCTAAAAATATTGGTCACTTCTATTGCCAGAGTGCCTAAAGAAAGATTTGTGGCGCCTGCTTGACTGCATACTTTGCCAGGAGATGGTCTTATTTTGGAGCCAAGCAGGAAGGTGGTATCCAGAATATGTTACAGCAATTTAAAATTCAACTTAATCGAAAATTTCTGCAACAGTGTGGAACGGATTTTTACATTTATCCCATGGGAGGGGACGACTGCCTAACCATGAAAAATAGTTGACCAGGTAGCCATTCCAGATGCATAGACTTGACTGTGGAAACCCTAACTGACCAGAGTTATATCAAAAATATGCGGCTACAACTATTAAACTTACGAAGCCACACAGGTAAATAGGCGGCGAGTGGTACCAAGCTTGTTCTCAACGCTTAACATGATGTGCCGACCTTAAATCGGAGTCGTTTTTTGCACGTTCGGAAGTCGAAGATAGAATTTCATTGTGCATCTGTAATCTGATTTTGGAACTTATCTATAACTCCACAGCCGTAAGAATACTTAAGGTACCAAATGATGTGTAAAGTTTTTTACAGATTATATATATCTAACGACGCTACACTTCAATTGTAGATCAAACATAAAAGACCCTAGCGTAGGCTAGTTTAGTCAATAAATAATGAAAATGCCATCTGTCAGTAGTTTTCTGTTTGCTAATAAATAAAAGAATATGACCTGAAGACCTGAATAAACGGACATACGTAAAGCCTACGCGGTGTTGTGTAATGCTCAAATTCCATGTCTTTTTTACTGTTCTTATATTTATCGAGACTCTCTCAATATAAAGGCTCTTGTTAATTGTTCAAATTACTTTGTGACGAAATAGACGTAACTTAGAATGAATGAGACAGTATTTAACGACCCAGTACATGGTACAATATCACTTCGTCCTGAATTGGTGAAAATCATCAACACTCCGCAGTTCCAAAGACTGCGAAATATCAAACAGTTGAGTGGAAAATACTTCGTTTATCCCGGTGCATCTCACAATCGTTTTGAGCACAGCATTGGTACCGCATATTTAGCGGGAAAATTGGTCCGTCATCTCAAGGAGAATCAAGATCTTGGAATTGACGACAGAGATGTTCTGTGTGTTGAAATAGCTGGACTCTGCCATGATCTTGGTCACGGTCCTTTTGCACACTTGTTCGATGGAATGTTCATGAAAAAGTTGAAAAAAAGAGAATCAGAAGAGGAAAGGGTAGAGAATGAGAAATATCTTCCCCACGAAGATATTTCTTGCAAAATGTTGGATCTTTTGCTCGATGGAATAGAAGAGAAAATTGTGTCAGAGGAAGAGCGCCAATTTATCAAAGAAATGATTGCGGGGAGTGGCAAAGGGTGTACTTCCGATCGTTGGTTCCTCTACGAAATTATATCAAATAAAAGCAACGGTGTCGATGTTGATAAGTGGGATTATTTTGCCAGAGATTGTCATCACTTGGGTATTCCGAATGGATTCGACCACAAGCGTTTTTTACAGTTTATGCGAGTGTTACCAGTTGGTCAAGATGAAGAAAAGCATATTTGTGTACATGAAAAGGAATGTTTCAATTTGTATGAAATGTTCCACACACGATGTTCTCTACACCGAAGAGCATATCAGCACAGAGCCGGGAATGCAATTGACCATATGATCAGTGATGCCCTGGTAGAAGCCGACAGACACATCTTGATTCGTGGCAGCAAAGTGAAAGACTCGGAGTTATCGAAACTAAATGCCACATTTCTGAAGGTCGATGAAGAAGGATTTTATCTTTGCACTATATCTCAATGTGTAATTGATCCGGTAGCATATACAAAGCTAGATGATGGGACTTTTCAGCAAATTCTACATTCAGATTGTGAAAATCTGAAAAAAGCTCGTGAAATTCTCGAAAGAATATTCAGGAGAGATCTATATAGATGTATTGGAGACGAACAACTAAAAGAAGGGCAAATTGACACTGATGAAATCAAGAAAAAAATAGTCGGTTACAGCAAGGACATAGAGATAAATGATTTAGAAGTTAGTTTGGTTAAGTTTAACTATGGCGATGGTGAAAATAATCCAGTAGAGAAGTATCGGTTTTATTCAAAAACAGAACCGTCGAAGGCGAAGAAAATGAAGCGCGACGAGTTTTCTAACATGTTGCCGGCGAAATTTGAGGAAAAAAGAATTCAGGTTTTCTGCAAGGATCCAAACAAAGTACACGAAGCCAAAAAATGCTTTGAGGCATGGAACAATGAATGTAATAAAATATAAAGATTTCACTTGTAAATTGGATTTACATTAGAGTTTTAGAATGAAATATAGTTATATTTCTTTACTATCATCTGCAACAAATTTGAAGATTATTTATATGCAAAATTGACATCGACTCAATTTCCTGTTCTACAGTATTCACTATTAACAATTTCAAATGTTGTATTACATGCTAAATTAATTAAATATATTGTATTATTATAACATATATTACATTAAATAAATATATATCATAGCAAATTTAGGTTAATCGTTCATTTTTGAGATGATGTTACACTGGGCCAATTTGTACAGGATGATCAAACCAGTTGTAGACGAATGTTCATTAAAATTTTTAAAATATAAATGTAAATAAATAACTTGTCTTGCAGAAAATAGCAGTATAAAGATAAATAACAGAATTCATTGTTATTTTTCGATATATCCCCCCTTTGCCTCGATCTGATTGGAACTTGACTGTATGAAGTACGTAGGGTTTCTTCTGAAATTTTGTCCCAACAAATCATTAATTTATGCCTTAGAGTAGTGGTTCCCAAACTTTTTAGAGTTGGGACCCACTATTTATTACCACAGCTTATGGCGACCCATTTAACCTTTATGACATAACACTGAACACAGCAATGGCTAATCATCGTAAAACTACCGTGTTTCCTCGAAAATAAGACCTGGTCTGAAAATAAGACCTAAACCCGCTAAACGGTGTTTATGGCGCTACCAGTTCTTGTCTTTTAGTGGTCGCTCTTGCCCGTTACTGTGCACCTAAAACGAAATGGGCATGTTTTTGCCAGTTTGCGCGTTACTTCGCAATACATCTTATCATAACCACTTAATTATCCGAAACCTCGAACGAATAAACTTTGATCAGTCCAATGAGCATATATACTTATTTGTATATATGCTCATTGATCAGTCCTAGTCGCTGACTCGCTATCACGAACGCTCACTTATTTCCCGATCCATTAACGCAGACACATTGTGACGTAACACGCAAAACGGCGAGAACATGACTGTTCCGATTTTGGAGGGGCGAGAACGATCTTCTAAAATAAGGACTGGTAGCGCTATAAACGCTGTTTAGCGAATACAAAAGATAATTTTGCAATAATTCAAAGCTGCTTGCGTACTACTAGTGGTACGCGCACCTCGGGCTGAGAACAACTGCTCTAAAAGCATAGATTGATGACTTGTTTGTTCAAAATTCCAGAAGAAATCATACGTGCCTCGTGCAGTCAAGTTCCAAACAGATTGAGTCGTGTAGTATGGTTGGATTATCCTGATAACGGTTATCCGGTTAACGGAGAGTTATTTTACTATCTGATATCCGGACATTATTGTGACGGTTAACCGGATAATAGAGCAGTATTAATATTGCATATGCGCATTAGTGATTTTTATATTTTTTGTTAAGTGGTGACTGACATCTTCCAGAGCATACAACAGTAACTTTTATTCACACTACTCAGCCTATATTTGAAGTTTAAACCATCTGCGGAATGCTGGAGTTACCTTCACTATTACATCACAAAACACGCAGAACAAATGTGATTATTGTGTTTGGGTTAAAGAAGAGCTCATTCACTTTATAAGTTAGATTGAAAACTGGGGGTTCAGTATAAGCAAGGCTAACTTAAACAAATTCAGTTGAAAAGCACTGAATGCGTCGTTGTGAGTTTGTTGCTTTTTGGTCGGGTGTGGCTTTTAGTTGTTGCGTGTATTGAAGGAAGGCATTTTGTGTTGGAATAAGCCAGTTTGAATTTCGAGGACTTATTTCACAATTCTTCGGATTCCATGTAATCTGTGTAGCATTACAAAATTTTTGGTACTCGAACGCATGTAATATACATGTTTTCAAATTTTTCTATTGCGCAAAA